TCTCTTTCTTTCTCTCTGTCTCTGTCTCTGTCTGTGTGTCTGTCTCTGTCTCTCTGTCTGTCTCTCTCTCCGTCTCTGTCTCTCTCTCTGTCTCTCTCTCTCTGTGTCTTTTTTTTCTCTCTCTCTCTGTCTCTCTGTCTGTCTCTGTCTCTATCTTTCTCTCTCTTTCTCTCTGTCTCTGTCTCTGTTTGTGTGTCTCTCTGTCTCTGTCTCTGTCTCTGTCTCTCTCTCCGTCTCTGTCTCTTTCTCCATCTCTGTCTCTCTCTCTGTCTGTCTCTCTGTCTCTCCCTCCTCCCCTTTTGATGTTTATTGTCATGCTCCAAATAGACTCCTGGTGGTGTACAATTAAAAGAAAAATGTGTAGAAAAGCAATATACTAACTAACTATACTAACTACAGGAATTAAAAACCATATTAGAATAGGTCACTCCCTTGAGAGACATCTGTAAGAGGGAGTACAAGGGTAAAAAGAAATAAAGAGGGTGGCTCTCTCTGTGCAATTAAATCTCGTTCCTTTTTAATGGAGGGACGCCCATAATGGCCTCCCTCGACTGCTGGACCAAAGATATCCCTGGAATAAATTTTTTCACTAATTCATGAAAAGCCAGAAGGATGGAGGTTGAATGTATTTGTGGGGGAGGGGGAGAGAGAGAGATGTTCTATAAAATGGAAAGTGTTTCTGAAAAGGCTCGCTTCCTTATCCCAGCCCACATATGTCAGAAAGTGGAGCAACACTTAGCAGGTCCTCTTGCCATGATCAAACCGGGCACATATGTGTGGATATGCCACTCATGGTCTCCATAAAAAGCAGCATCCAGCCCTTTAATATTAACCTTCCCTATGGAAGTGGTAGTGGAATATGACATTATTTCTGTCCATAGATTAATCATCTTTAAGTCTTCTTCAATGCCCTCTATAAATGTGTGTTGGGCAACCATTTCTACAATTCCTAGGAAACCATCAAGCCATTGCCTGCCAAATCTCTTAGGTTGTTGCTCCTTGTGGTCTTCACCTGTTGGCCAATGTCTGATGGGAACTCAAAACTGAACTCTCTGGAGGGACCAGATTACAAGTTCTGGGCTGGCTGGTAAAATATAATGGGGATGACCTGCAGATTAAATTTATGTTCTGATTCAGTCTTTTTCAAAATGCGATTCCATGCCGATAGGACAAGGCACAGAAATAAGATAGCAATGTAACAATAATTACCTCAGAACTTTAGGTTCAGGAACCATCTCAACCCTGGAAGCTCACCAGAAGATAGTTGCGGCCTTCACCTCCTGAGGCAAAAGCAGGATATACACCTACCAAATTAACAAATCACCCTAGACCAGCCACATCCCTTTGTCCCTTTGTACCTTGGCAGGTGTGGTTGTCCTCTGACAAAACAAGACCTCGAGGGCATTCACATTGATAACTGGTTTCCAACATGTTGCATCTATGGCTGCAGCCTCCATTGTTGTTGTGACACCCTTCAATTTCTAAGGCAGAAATAATGAGTAGATCAATAACCTTTTCCCGTGTAGGATCAGGTAAACACGAGGGGGAATTATATTCATTTATTATACAGTCATTTAAACTGTCTAAATGTTTCATTGTCCTCTTAATTGTATCGGGCAAAGATTTGTGGAGGTTTCAGGAATCTCTGCATTGAAATTAATGAGAGTTGTGGAAAGCACAGAGAACAGACAGGGGCTGTTTCAGGGTTATTCCTATTAAGTCTTACAAAGATAAACTATGTGAAGGAACTAGAAGTTTAATAAGCTCCCAAAGTGGATCCTCCTTAGCTGGGTGTGTGTCTACTTTGTGGAAGCAGGTCACCTTAATTGATGCTTCCACAAAGAAAACTGTTCTTTGGGTATGCACATCCCTATTTGTGAATTCTGGGCTTTCAATAGAAGACCCAGTTACATGAAGATGTACATTTGTCTATGAATTTTTTTCCACCCACGTCTCAGCACTAAAGAAAACTCCCACTGGCACTCTAATACCGGTTATTGTATGGAGCCTGAAAAAAGAAAGAAAGCTGTCACAGTATTGCCCTATCTTCTCTTCTCTTCTCTTCTCTTCTCTTCTCTTCTCTTCTTTTCTCTTCTCTTCTCTTCTCTTCTCTTCTCTTCTCTTCTCTTCTCTTCCCTTCCCTTCCCTTCCCTTCTCTTCTCTTCTCTCTCTTTTCTCTTCTCTTCCCTCCTCCCCTCCCCTCTACTTTCATTCCTCCTCTCTTCTTCTCTTCCCTTTCCTCCCTTTTCCTCCCCGTCCTTTCCCCTTCCTTCCCCTCCCTCCCCTCCTCATCCATGTCTCATTTCATCCCATCCTATCCTAACCTATCCTCTTTTCTCTTCCTCTTTCTCCTCTCCCCTCTCCCCTCCCCTCTACTTTCATCCCCTTTCTCCTTTCCTATTCCCTCCTCTCCCCTTCCATTCCCTTCCCCTTTCTCTTCCTCTTCCCTCAAACACAACCACTGACTTCTAGGATATTTTCTGGCACTTTGGACTTTATCCTCTCATGAATCTTAAAGCAAGTTAATTAAATCAATCTACTAGTCATAGGCAAAAGTTCAGCTAGTAATTCTAAATCATTTCCTTACCTTCACAAGTCTTTCCATCCGGCCCCAGGACACGCCCAACTCCACATTCACAGCGATAGGAGTTCTTTAGGTTAATACAGAATTCGCTGCAGCCGCCATTATTCCTTTCGCATTCATTTTCATCTACAAAGAAACATGGCTGAAAGGCTTCCAACTTAGCAGCAACGCTAAAAGCAGCTAAGAGCTGGAGTGTAGGACATGTATGCTAGAGCAGGGGTCGTCAACCTTTTGGACCTCAGGGACCACCAAACTCATAATTTTAAATCCCAGGGATCACTAACTGGTTCTGTGGGGGTGGCCTAATTTGTGGGTGTGGCTTGGTGGTCATGTGACTGGCTGGGCAGGGCTTGTATGTAAATATTATAAATATTTATATAAATATTGATTTTTTTATAAAAAAGGGCAACTTTTTCCCAAAATCAGGCAAAGCAGGCAGGCAGATTGAGTTGCTCACAGAATCATCCATTGATCTATCTATCTGCCATCAGCTACCTGAGTCTGTCACATAAAATTTGCTTGCTGTGAGTCTGTACTGCATAATAAAATCTTCAGTCCTAAGGGAGGCTTGGCTGTGCTTAAAAGCAGGGCCGAAGATCTAAAGACTAGCTAGAAAGCAAGAAATCCAACCATTTCCTGATTCCTAGCTAATCTAAATCTCCTGGCACAGCAGAACAGGTGATGGTCAGGGGAAAAAAAAAGGAAAAATAGCAACTTAGCAGGCAAGTTTGCCGGGTAAGGAGTGAGTGGGCAGGGAGGGTTCCTGCGGTCCATGTGGGCGGCGCAGTCTTGTGTTACTGTGCAGCCTGGATTACTTGCTTTGGGACTTGCTCTGGGGGTGACATTTCTCTGCAGCCCACCAAAATTTTCTTGCGGCCAACCAAAATTTTCTTGCGACCGCTGTGCTAGAGGCCACATGCAATAATACTGTTTTTAGGTCATCAGTTTGAAAGAACTGTATTTGTGGGGTAGAGTTTTGTCAGCATCCCTGATGCTTCATCCACAAAAGATAGAGGTGCCAGATTTGTGTCTGTGTAACCTTGGTATTTCTGCACCACAAGAGTACAAAAGCCAATGACTCCATTTGTGTTAAGCCCTCCAAGGCTGGTGAATACAGAAAAAAAGACCCACTTGAATTTCTAAGATCTTTCTTGTTAGATCTTTCTTGAAAGCTATCCAGAGTAATTCTCTTGCCCAACCTACAGTATACTGAGAACAATTTAGGTCAGGGGTCATCAAACTTGACAACTTTAAGACTTGTGGACTTCAACTCCCAGAATTCCTCCTCCAATCATGTTAGCTCGGGGAGTTGAAGTCCACAAGTCTTAAACTTGCCAAGTTTGAAGACCCTTGATTTAGGTGCTCTAAGTCTCTTCTGAGACATTCCTTTGACCCAGACTCAAGAAATGCTTGTATAATGGGTCCAGCCTGTAACTGTCCTGCTCTGCTTCCCCTATGTCCCCAAGGTCTGTTGACATTGCATTACAATTTGCATAATTTGACATGAGAAATCCATTTTTCATTAAGAAGCATCGACGAAGCAGCTACCTGCTTCCTCCAATATAAACAGCTAGCATTTGGATGTGAAAGGAATAGACTCAAACATTCACAAATGAAAAACAGCTTTCTGTGTCCCATGCATTGTCTCTGAATAAAGATAAGGTGTTCAGTTACATCAAGTTCAATACAGATAGTCCTTAACTTACAATCATTTGTTTACTGACGGTTCGAAGTTACAATGGCACTGAAAAATAATGACCTATCTTTCACACTCATGGCTGTAACAGCATCTCCATTATCACGTGATCAAAATTCAGGCACTTGGCAACTGGCCAGTAGTTATGATGATCATGGGATCATCTTTTGCAACCTTCTGACAAGCAAGCAAAGTCAATGGGGATTCACTTAACAACCGTGCTAGGTCAGTTCACTTAACAACTGCAGCAAAAAGGTTGGAAAATGAGGCAAAAAACTCACATAACAACTTTCTTGCTTATCAACAGGATTTCGGGACAAAATTGTGGGTCTAAGTTGAAGACTACCTGTACTCTTATTTCCAGCCGGTAGCTACAGTTCAGTCCTATGTATAATTAGTAATGTGTCGGTCTCTTTGAAATCAGTGGGACCAAATTCTGACAGACTGCAGCTTTAATCAAGAACTCTAAGCAGCTTGATTAAACTAACTGTGAGGCTGGAATCTGTTGAAGAAACAGAGAGGTGAAGAAACTGGTAGGTCAAGAGCTGGTAGAGTGGAATGGTCGGAAAGTGACAGTTGGAAGATAATGGACACCGAGTTGGGCATCCTGGGGTGAGGAGGAGTGCAGGAGGAGTAATATCTCCTTAAAAAAACCTTGGTCCAGCTGGCTCGGCTGGTAGCACCTTGTAAGAGCCCATTTCCAGGGTTACAGGAGAAGAGGGTCAACAGTTTTGAAGGCGGGAAAGGGCTTTATGCCCCAATGGCAGATAAAACGGTAGAACCAGGGGTGGGATTCTACCAGTTCACACCTATTCGCTAGAACCGGTTGTTAACATTCTAAGCAGTTCGCAGAACCGGTTGTTAGAAGAAATTATTGGCCTAATCCTGTAAGGAAGGCAGGAAGGAAACATTCTGGTGTTGCTTACAGAAACTGCCTCTCCGTTAACCCTTAATACATTCTTGGCAGGACTAGACTTCCTGTCTCAGGAACGTCTCTGGAGTTATTTCCCCCCTCCTTTGCTGGTACTTTGCTTGTGTGGAGTGACTATTCAAAGTTACAATGGCACTGAAAAAAGTGACATGACCATTTTTCACACTTATGACTGTTGCAGCATCCCTACAGTCATGAGAGGCCAGGCAAGGAGATGCGTGCCTCAATGTGAATGATATTGAGTTGGCCACACCCAGCCAATAACATGACCACCAAGCCATGTCCACCCAGTCACATGACCACCAAGCAACACCCATCAACTAAGCCACGCCCACAGAACCGGTTGTTAAAAAAATTGAATCCCACCACTGGGTAAACCATCTTCTAGGAGAAGGGAAACACTGTTTTCAAACCTCCACTGCCTTGTGGCTCTCTCTATTATTGGAAAAGGCTTCAGGAGTCAACCTTGAGGCAAAATCCGGAGCCGGGGTCCCGGAAGCAGTTCGTGACTATATACAATCGCCTTCTGGTAACTCCTGTGATGCAGCTGGAACTAATAGTATCAGCTCTGCCGTTGCATTAGACTATTTCAGTGATGTTTAGAGGGGGGATTTGCTGCTTGGGTAACAGTTGATCCTCCATATGAAATTTCCCAGGCCTCGTGCTCTATAGATAACACTCTAGCTTTGCATACAGCATTGAAACAACACGGGAAGTGGCCGTTACTGGTTTCATCGCACAATACCATAGTTTCTTGAGACTGAAGGATGCCTATTCAATTCAAGCAGTTCCAAAAAGATGGACAATGAGATAAAAAAATTTTTTTTTAAAGATGTTAGATTCATCATTTGTTTCCACTAAATTGTTTCATTCAGTCTGCAAAATAAAGGAGGATCACCTGGTACCCTCCTTCCCATCTCTCTTCTGCTATATAAAGCTGGACTTACCCAAAGCCATTCCTTTTGGGACAGTTCGTGTAAATTACTCAGTGTTTATAATATTATGTGTCCTTTTGATATAGATAGATAGATAGACGTACTGCAACTTTTCGCCGCTGTTTATGGTTTTTTGTCTTTCTCTGCTTTTGTCAGTTAACAGTTTTTGGAATGTTTGCTAACTTTCAATCAATAAGCCTCAAATTTATTTATTTTTGACAGCTGAACTGAGCGGCATTTACGTTGCTTTTGGCTGGATATAAAGAATGACTGGGATGCTGGGTGCAAACTAAAATGCAAATGACACACTAAAATGTTCCAGCATTAAATAGACCATCTCTGGTTTGAACATTTGCACATTCAACTTAAGCATAGCTATTTTAAAATGTAAACATGTTTGTGTAAATTCTAACGTTATAAACTTCATTAGATTGGAGGTTGTTGTAGGGCATTCAGAAAGCCACTTTGTGAGGGAATGTTGTTCAGCTTTCCAGGCGGGAGAGAGTACTGTACATTCCAGGGGGAGTAAGAGCAGTTCGGATTGGTTCAGGCAAACCAATCTACCAGTTCGGATTGGTTCAGGCAAACCGCATGTTAAATTTGCATCTGGTTCGCAGAATTGGTATGTGAACTGATCAGCTGGCCCTACTAACCCTTCCCCCTCCCAGGAATCTCCACGTAACCCATTTTCGATGCAGATAAGTGCAGACTCTGGGAGGGGGGAAAACGGCCCTCCCAGAAGTTCCAGTAGGCCAAACCCACCATGGCCATGCTCAGCCAGCAACTGGACAGCGAACCGGTTGCTGGGATTTTTGAATCCCACCCCTGAGTAAGAGGCAACACAGTTTAGAATTAGATTGTGTGAGAGAAAGTGGGGGAAGACAGTTCCTCCCTAACAGTTCCCAGATTATATGTTTTAGGAGGCAAGCAATCTGCTTTAGCTTGGCAAGTTTTCAGTCTATAAGTGAAGAACAACCAAGAAATTGCTGCTTAGAAAAATCATAATATGTCTTTCTAGGTTTTTCTGCTTGATGCAGAAGGAATTCAGAAATGGCAGTTGAAATTTAAGATTCACAACATCTAGCCCAGCAGAATTTTCAAACGTGAATTCTGAATTCTGGGTGGGAAATTCTGGCATTCAAAGTTTGTGTACCTGAAAGTGGCTGAAGTAAAAGTGGCTGAATTTGAAAAACAGCTAACACTTACTAAGTTGCAGTGAAAAGCTAGTCCAACTGATATGACGGATGAAAATGTTTAGGACTGATAACTCCATGTCTAACTATGACTTTATCAATCTAATTTAATTGTGCAGACCCTCGACTAGAAAACAAGGAGTGCTTAAGGACTAGGAAAAGGGGAAGAAAAGTCTGACCATGCTTGAAATAATATTATTCAGAGCTAAGCAAATTAATTAGAAAGATAAATGAGCCACATCATTAGGAGGACTTGGAATGTTCACTTTAGACAGGGACTGTACAAGAACACAAAGTCACCCTCCTTGTCTCTTCTGTCCAGTTGAATAATGTGCAAAGCTCCACTTTCTTTGAGGCTCTACCTTCTGTCC